AAATAAATATATTGTCTAATAATTAAGTTTGTAAAAGCATTTTTTACACTATATATATATATATATATATATATATATATATATATATATATATATATATATATAGGTAACTACAGTAGTCTCGGAAAACCTTCGGTTTCTTGATTTGCTAATGGTCAAATCAATTTCGAAGGAAAGAAATGTTTTAAAAAAAGAAAGAGCTATGAACATGAAAGTTTGGCGAAAATAATCGTACACCATACAGGTCCAAAGCCCGAAGAAAAAAAAACCCGATACGAGTAATCAACTAACTAAAAAGTGCTCAATACAAAAGTAGAGCGCAGACCTAGTCAAACCTAGAGAGTCAGAGAAACCTACCAAGATATATATATATATATATATATATATATATATATATATATATATATATATATATAACTAGACTCGTTTCGAAAACCCTCGAATTTTTGATTTGCTAATCAAATCAATCTCGAGGAAAAAAAAAGGTTTTAAAAAAGAAAGAGCTACAAACATGAACTTCTGCCGACAAAAAATCGCACAGATGCAGGTCTGAAGCCCAAAAAAAAAAACCGATACGAGTAACAACTAACTAACAAAAGAGCTCAATACAACTGTAGAGCAGACCTAGAGACACCTAGTGAGCCAGACAAACCTACCTAGGTTTCACCTAAACGGATCATCAGGGAAAGCTTGGCCAAGCTTTCCCTGACGATCCGTTTAGGTGAAACCTAGGTAGGTTTGTCTGGCTCACTAGGTGTATCTATATATATATATATATATATATATATATATATACATATATATATATACACACGAACAGATTGATTTTATATATATATATATATATATATATATATATATATATATAGAGAGAGAGAGAGAGAGAGAGAAATTGAGAGATAGATAATGAACACATGAGATCTCTCTATCCCCTCTATCTCTCTCTATCTATCTATCTATATATATATATATATATATATATATATATATATATATATATAGAGAGAGAGAGAGAGAGAGATAGATAGATAGATAGATAGATAGATAGATAATGTACAGACTGAGATCTGTCTCTAGATAGATAGGGTTGTAACCTAGAAAAGTTTACTGAATGAGGAATAACCAAAACGGAGATTGGAAATGAAATTGTAATCTTTATAACATCAACAAAATACAATACTCGCCAGCGGCGTGGTGTAAGTAACCCACTGCTAGTGTTGGACTAATTAAACAGCATATTATCACCACTTACAATAGTTTCCAACGTATTTATGAGGATTGGGACATATACAATTAGTGTTTATAGGTACGCTATATAACAGGCAGTCAGATAGATAGATGTGGACAAAACAGGATAAATGGATATGACCTTACTTTGGCTCATTGATTCTGAAAAGCCTGAGCATTAACGAAATCCTTAACGAACTTATTCTTTAGAAAATCGTCAATGCACATGTGGTTTGGTTCATGTGTTTTTTTTTTTATATTTCTTGAAAAATACGACAACTGGCTTAAGTAAATGAAAGAACTGCTCCATACCCATTATGTTCCCATTCACCATTTGACTTACTTCATTTGTTCACTTCAGTTTCATGTCGTTCTCTATTATCATCATTGACTTCTACACATTTGATTCTGCACGGCCATCTTGCTGTTGCTACCGTATATCGCCGATATGTTTCCACTCAGCGAGTTTTAACACCAATATTAGCATGTGGATTTCAATTCAGATCAAGTGACAGCTTATTTTAGTAACAGTTTTGTCTCGTTGAATTGAATGTAGCTTTGAGAAGAATAAGAAATTTCCCCAACAGTCTTCCGACAATTGAACAATAATAATTTGTATACCGATTTCGGCAATGTTTAACAAACGCACCCACCAAAAAATAACGATGTGTCACTGCCATTAGCGTATACATCCTCGGCAATTTTTATTATTTTAAAAACTGGCATCGGTAATACTGACTGGTTGCTCGCCTGCTGGGATGATTAGTCTGCATGGTTCTGCAGAGCGCGGGGGTGTTTCTTCGTCACCCAGGGAGACAGCCTCTGCTTTATACTGTAAAGACCATAGTTACAGTTTCTGGTAGAGATCGCAAAATCTGGCTTAATCTCGTAATCTCGAACCAAGATAATCGAATCAAGATAACTTGTGACTTTCTGCTAAGCACAAACACCAACGGCTTCCAAACTGTTTCATCTACCCATTTTCACTCCCCAAGCTTTGGTTCCTCTTTTGGTATAGTTCTTACGAAATTTGCAACGGTGCCGAATACTGCGATCGTCTCCCCAAACTAATATTATGAGCAAACTGACCATGGTGAGATTCGAACCCAAGCAGCTTTCATAACCACGCGCTCACTTGAGTCTGTATCCTAGCTGATGTTTTTATAATGTTCTAATTTGGATGATTTTTGTTCCCCATCAGATTTTAAATTCTTACATATGACGTTTCTAGGCTCCCCCATAACAGTTCCAAATTCGCTGATAATGATGGTTACCAATAAGTTACCAGTGATTGTTACCAGTGATGGTTACCAATGATAATGATATAATGATTATGATGGTTACCAGTGATGGTTATCAATGATGGTTACTAATGATAATGATATAAGAATAATAATGGTTACTAGTGATGGTTACTAATGATGGTTGCCAATGATAATGATATATTGATAATGATGCTTACCAGTGATGGTTATCAATGACGGTTACCAATTATAATGATATAAGGATAATAATGGTTGCTAGTGATGGTTACTAATGATGGTTGCCAATGATAATGATATAATGATAATGATGGTTACCAGTGATGGTTACCAATGATAATGATATATTGATAATGATGGTTACCAGTGATGGTTAACTATGATGGTTACCAATGATAATAGTATAATGATAACGATGTTTATCAATGATGGTTACCAATGACGGTTACCAATAGGCCCGTCATGGTCGATACTTAGCAATTTTTAAACTTCTATCCCGCAACAAAACGATGTGTCAAACGGACAATTCTTACCTTGACACTGTTATCATTTTAGCTACCTTCACTCATCGGAAATGTTTATTATTTTCAAAAAGCGATGATTAGAATTGTAATAAAATCTAAAAATATGAAAGTAAATTTTTACATCTTCTTTGTTCTTGAGAATTGACAAAAATAATAAAGACTAAATTGTTTATTTACACTACTTATTTATTATACTGTTTATTGGAATGGCTGGCAAAACATCAGCTCGTTGTCAATCGATTCGAATTTTATAAAATGGTAAATAATAATAATTTTCTTATGGTTGGTTCACATATTTTAATAATTTAGTAAATGATTATGAATAATATTTTTTGTATTTATTTCTTCATAAATTGGTAAATGATGAATATTGCATTAGTTTTACTACACTTGTATTATATTTTAGAGCGTTGCAAATATAACATTATTTGTTAAATAAACAAGGTCATAACTTGTGTTTAATATTTTTGTTGCAAATTCTCAAGTACAAAAAAAAAATGTATAAATTTACTTTCCAACATTTAGGTGGTTAGGTTTTATTACAATTCTAATCATCACTTTTTAAAACAATAAACATTACCGTGGAGTGAAGGTAGTTAAAATAATAGCCATGTAAAGGGAAAAAATCGTTTTGACATCCGGGTTTTTGCGGACACGAACGTTAAACCTTGCCCGATCATTTTTGACGCAAATTTTAGATATAATGTCTACCCTTTCAGTTTTACTCTACAGTCCGCTAAAATAATGATATCCACGATCAGTCAATTTTTTTTTATTACAAGGACGAACCCCGATCTTTAAACCATTTGCTCAGCAGAAACACTCCAACTCTCCCTAAATTATTCTGGCATGAAATTAAGTTGGAAGATTCATTTGAATCTCAAAGTACAAATCAATTATATATTTTTTTCTTTAAGATGGATTCTGATTTGTATACAACTGATTTGTATGGTCAGATAATTGCTTTTTGAACCGCCCTCACTAATAGCCGTTTATATCCTGTCTTACATATTACTTAGTTTTAATTAATCCCCTATATGGCGGTAAGTTCTTTCCCCATAGATTGAATTCATGCATTGAATATTGCTGTCACATTGTGGTCTGGTGCTCCTGCTATGTATTTAGAGATTCTTGATGAATTTCAAAGAAGAATCTGCAATGGTATAGGTCCTGACCAGGCACTTTGGATTCAATCACTTATCCATCGCCCTAACGTAGCTTCCCTCTGTCTTTTCTATAAATATTTCCATCGTAATTGTTCTGATGAGTTTTCCTCGTTCGTACTTCGTCTTTACAAATTTAAACGCAGTACTAGATTGGCAGCTAGGTCCCACCATTTTACAGTTGAATGACTTGATGTAATTGAAAATTTTATGCGAAGAGTTTTTTTTCTCTCAGTTCTCATACTTATACTTAAAATCAGAAAGAAAAGTTGGTATTTCTGGGACGTACAAAGAGGAAAGGGGACCTGTAGAATTTGATACTCAGTTTTATTGAAGGCAAGATAAGCTGTGGGACAGCGAACAGATGAGTTTGAAGGAATGGATGACAGAACAATGACCAAAAAGGGAACTATTAAAGGAAAAAGAGGCATGAAGCCGTGGAGAGCCATGATCGACAACTTTTTGTAAGATTATGGTATATAAAAGCAGAAGGTAACAACTACAAGGAAACCCCTGTAAAAGATAACTAAAATTTCGAGGACACACACTGAGGAAAGAAGGACTAGAGAATCTAATACTCACAGGATACATTGGAAGCAATAAGAAACAGAGAGAAATAGTCAATAACGTACTCAACGAGTATGTGTAAATGGATGGCGGGACAAAGATAAAGAAAGATAGGAAAAAGTTACTCAGCGGAACTAAAGATAGGATGATATGGAGAGCCATGATCACCCAGTTCTGAAAGGAAACAGCATGTATAAAAGAAGTTTTATCTATATCTACGGTTCTTCTTAGTATTTATTATTTTTCCTTTTTTGCTAATGCGATTTTTAACGTTATCCTTATCGTCTGCTTCGTTCATTTTGTTTCTATTTCTTTTTTTTTTCATTCTTCTCGAACTCATAATTATTATTCTTTTTCTATTACTTGGCTCGGCTTTCAGATTCCCGTTTTCTTCCTTCTCTTTATCCTGTTTTACTTTTTCTTATTTTCACTCTTTCTTTCAACCGTTCAACCTCTCTCTCTCTCTCTCTCTCTCTCTGTCATTTACATTCATTTTGTGCTTTTGTCTCCGTCTTTTCCTCTTTAATTATCTCCCTCATCCTTCTTCCACAGACCTCACTTCTTTCTCTTCGTTTTTTTCTCCACGTCTTCTTCTTTTTCTGTTGCTGCTGCTGCTAATGATGATGATGATGATACTGCTGTAACCATATGCCGAGCAGAAACGAAACTATTCTTCCTCTCCAACTTTCACTAAATCATTCCTGACATGAAATATCTGCCGCAAAAATGGTAGGGGCGAGTATTATAAGGGCGGTTTTAGAGTTGGTGCCCAGCGATAGATAGACAGGCAGAACAAGGCAAGGAAGGGGAGTTATCGAAAGAAAGAAGAGTCAACAACGTAGAAGATGGCCATTAAAACCGATTCTGTTGACAGGGATTAGGCTCTCTGCATCAGACCGAAACCTCTTGGAACGCGAGGTCATTCTATAGTATGTAAAATAAGTACCGGCCCGTTTCTGCGTCTGCCCTACCTCCCGCCGTCTGATGCTTCGAATTTCTCTTTAACTTCAACTACTATTACTGCTTGGTCCAAAACGATTTTCACGTAAAGATGGAATAGTTGTCTTGTTGTCGTAAATAGCAGCAGGAGGAGAATGGGAGATGGATGTCCACGCATGCGCTTCGTGTAGAAGTGATACGGTCTTTACTTTCATTCCATTCCGAACTGTCTTCTCTTATCAATATCTCGCAGCGCGTTCCGTCTGTATGTTTTATTTTATTTTCCGGTTCCAGTCGTGACTCCCGAAAAATATTCCCTATTTTATTTATGTATTTATTTTATGATTTATTTGCTGACTTAGCCAAACGCCATTTTTTTAACGTTTTACAGTCATCTACGCCTTTCGTTCATCATTGGTTGAGGATCTAGTCAGATTGTAAACTGTTTGTCAAGTGAGTACTCTCCTTTCTGAATAGACCTAATATCTATCTGTGCATCCCATAGATAATAAACTCTTTCTTCTTCTTCTTTCTTCTTCTTCTTCTTCTTCTTCTTCTTCTTCTTCTATGTGCGTTGTACCTTCGGGATGTGACCAATCATGACTCTTCACAACTTCCTATTCTTGTAGATCTTAATAACATTTTACGATCACCTCTATCCTCGGTTCCGCCATCCATTTATACAAGCTCATCATGTAGGTTCGCCCACTGCCTTCCCTTAATTCTTTTACATTCCATACATCCAGTAAGTATCAATTCTTCCGAGCCTTCTTTCCTCATTATATCTCCAAGTAATTCCATCTGTCTCTTTCTGATTCTGACTATAAGAATTTTAATTTTTTTTCGCTTTTCTTGAAGAACTCCTCTTTACCTACGCACTCCGTTCATGGTCTTCTCCATGGCATCCTGCTAAAAACAGATCTCCGTTGACACCGGTTGTCACTTTATCTCTTTTATTTGTTTCAATCAAAATTTTCTTGTTTTCTAGAACTTTGTTTATTGTTTGGAAGGCATCATTTGCCATTCCAATGCACGTTTGGATTTCGGAGTCAATGTTAACACTGTAGACTAACGCTGTCAACTCCTTAAAATGAAAATACGGTACCCGGAGTTTCTCAACCATTGTCAGCATTTTGATACAAGAAAATACTGCAATTTGATACGGGATAATTCCACAATTTGATACGAAACAATGTCGCATTTTGATACAAGACAATCCCACAATTTGATACGAGACAATGTCGCCAAAGACAATCCGCATTTTGATACGAAACAAATTTTGATACAAGACAATCCCACATTTTGATACGAAACAATGTCGCATTTTGATACAAGACAATCCCACATTTTGATACGAAACAATGTCGCATTTTGATACAAGACAATCCCACATTTTTCATACGAGCCAATGAAGCATTTCGATATGAGACAATGTCGCATTTTAATACGAGACAAACCCCCAATTTGATACGAGACAATGTCGCATTTTGATACGAGACAACAATTTGATACGAGCCAATGACGCATTTTGATACGGGACAATTCCACATTTTGATATGAGACAATGTCTCATTTTGATATGGGGCAATCCTACATTTTGGATACGAGCCAATGCCGCATTTAGATACGGGACAATGCCGCATTTTGATACGAGACGACAATGCTGCATTTTGATACAGGACAATCCCAGATTTTCATACGAGACAATGCCGCATTTTGATGCAGGACAATCAAACATTTTGCTACGAGACAATGCCGCATTTTGATACGGGACAATGCCTCATTTTGATACGAGGCAATCCCACAAATTGATACGAGAAATTGCCCTATTTTGATACGTTACAATCCGACATTTTGATACGAGACAATCAAACATTTTGCTACGAGACAATACCGCATTTTCATACGGGACAATCCCACATATTTGATACGACACAATGCCACATTTTGGTACGAAGCAGTCCTGCATTTTGATACTTAGCCAATGCCGCAGATTGATACGGGACAATCCCACATTTTCATACGTGACAATGCTGCATTTTGATACAGGATAATCCAACACTTTGCAACGAGACAATGCCGTATTTTGATACGGAACTAACCCACATTTTTCATACGAGACAATGCCACATTTTGATACAGGAAATGTCGCATTTTGATACGGGTCAATGCCGCATTTTGATACTTAACCAATGCTGCATTTTGATACGGGCCAATTCCAGATTTTCATACGAGACAATCCAACATTTTCATACGAGACAATGCAGCATTTTGATTCGAGACAATCCCACATTTTGCTACGAAAGAATGATGCGTTTTGATATAGGACAATACCGCATTTGGATACGAGACAATGCCGCATTTTGGTACGTTACAATCCCACATTTTGATACGAGACAATGGCGCATTTTGATACAAGACAACCAAACTTTTTGCTACAAGACAATACCACATTCTTATACGAGACAATCCCACATATTTGATACGACACAATGCCGCATTTTGATACGGGACAATACCGCATATTGATACCGGACAATGTCGCATTTTGATACGAGACAATGCTGCATGTTGATACTAGACAATGTCGCATTTTGATACGGGACAATTTCACATTTTGATACAAGACAATGTCGCATTTTGATATGGGACAATTCGACATTTTGATACTGGACATATGAGACGTTTGAAAACTCTCCTGTAGACTCTCAGCGGAAGAGAAGTACAAACTAGATTTTGCTACTCCAGATTCCGTAGCAAGTAGCTTTTTGCTGAGTGGACATGCCCGTCCCACGTCTTACCGGTTCTAGATTAAGGGTTGTCCTTCTCTTAGACAGCCCGGTCTGCTTTGGTATAACAGCAATTCCACGCACACATCTTAATGTTTTACTGACACTTTTTGCTAATTGATATCTTGTTGAAGGTTTGAAGTAATAGACAGGTTTAACTTGAGACTCTTAAAAATAACCTACATCAAGTGGATTTTGGCTTACGGCCAAATCACATTGAAACTCCGCATATTGGTTTCTTTTGTCTTTGCAGGACAACCAGTTTTGGAGAAGGATAACTACGAATTCAAAACCACTTTAGAGAGGGAAAATCTCTGTTAGGCTATCTATCTATCTATCTATCTATCTATCTATCTATCTATCTATCTATCTGTTATGGTAATTTACCCACACACGCATGAACTCGGTCAGATATAAATAGGAGCAGGTACTGCCTATTGGAAGGTGAAGTTTTCAGCAGTCAGCTCTGACAGTCAGACCGAACTTTCTTGCTGTAACACTCTCGTTTGTATATGCTTGCGTTACTTTTTCTGATAATATATTTGCTTAACTCAATTACTTTCTTGTGTCTTTATTTCTGGCCCTAACAAGGCCACAACACTATCTATGTCTGCTTCTATCTATCTATCTATCTATCTATCTATCTATCTATCTATCTATCTATCTATCTATCTCAGTCCATATATATATCTTTGTTTATTAATGGATTTTTACTTATTAATCTAACACTTTAAACGTTATTTTTAGTAGATTCTCATATTTGTAAATTTACAATAAAGTTACATTTCTCCTGTGGGACTATCTATCTATCTATCTATCTATCTATCTATCTATCTCAGTGTATTCTGATATATCTTTGTCTATTAATGGATTTTTTATTTATTAAATTGACAGGTGTTATCACTTTAAACGTTATTTTAGTAGATACTCTTACTTGAGTAGGCGATTCGTTTATTTATCAAACAGTATATTTGCAGAGGGAACTTCATCGGCAAAGGTTCTTCGTGGCTGAGTCGGTATAAGCACGTCGGATCTAACGGTTCCCTTCTGCTCAGTGGGTTTGCGGGGCGCAGGTTTGAATCCTGAGAGCACATATTTTTCTTTAATAAGATTTCTTGACTATTTAGACTGCCATATGAAAATAAATATACTGTTTAAATAAATAAACGGGGCGTCTACTCAAATATGTGCATCCACTAAAAATAACGTTGAAAGTGATAACTTCTTTGTCTATCTATCTATTTATCTCAGTTCATTTCCAAGGGACATTTTTCGAAACAGGACACAAAAAACTACGCCTGAATTTGAACAATGCTCATCGATTCCTTTTTGAACAATGACATCAGGGTATAACTCATTCCATTATTCTTTTTGAAATGGTTTGGCTGTGAATGATCAAACTTTCTAGCCTCTCAGACTGTTCACATACTTGTAAAATATTTGTCAGCGAAACAGTCTGACTGCATGATAATTTTTAATTACTTTGCTCATTTATTTGCATCTATTTTGCGCGAATGGGATCCTCAGTGAATGACGCAGCATTGTTGATTACAAATCAAAGTAAATTCAGTCAAAAAAAAGAGAGAGTGAGAGGTAAAGAGAGAGATTAAGAAAACGACATAAAGAGAGAGAAAGAAAAAACGAAAGAGATAAAAAGATCGAAATAGATAGAGAGAGAGAAAGAGGTAAAGAGAGTGATAAAGAGAGTGATAAATAGAGAGAGAGAGGTAAAGAGAACGATACAGAGATAGTGAGGTAGATATATATATATATATATATATATATATATATATATAGATAGATAGATAGATAGATAGATAGATAGATAGATAAAGAGCGAGAAAAACAGAAATATAAATGCAAAGAGAGATAAATAGAGAGAGATAAAAAAAAAAAAGAGAGATAAGTAAATAGATAAATAGAAAGAGAGACTGAGGTAAAAACGGATAAATAGAGTGATGGAAGAAAAAGAGAAAAATAAATAGAGTGAGAACGAGGTAAAGACAGAGATAAATAGAGAGAGATAAAGAGAGTGAGATAAATAGCGAGAGATAGAGAGAGATAAGTAGAAGATAAAGAGAGAGATAAATAGAGAGAAAGATAAATAGAGAGAAAGAGAGTTAGAGAGAGAGAGAGTTAAATCGAGAGAGAGACAAAAAGAGAAAGAGAGAGAGAGAGAAGAATATAGAGATAAGTAGAAAGAGAGAGAGAGAGGGAGAGAGAGAGAGAGAGAGAGAAGTAGATAGAGATATAAGAGAGAAATAATTTTTTCTGTTTCCCTGATAGCTATAATCTCCAACTATTCAAATGTAATGTCAATGGACGTCTCCAGATGCCTTGATCTATCCCCTATCCTTCTCTTCATCTTTTCCTCTATCATTCCTATTTGCTCTCGCTCCAACTCTCTGTAACCCGTTGCGTACTAGTGGCTTCCCGCCTTGCTTGGGGTGAAACGCTTAAAAAAAAAAAGTATTTATACAAAGTTGTGCATTGTTAACCATTACCGTAATTTTTCATTCTGCTTTTAAATGCAAAACTGTTGACAATGACCATGACTCTAACACAGAGAAAAAAACATCCATATTGGATAATTTTTTCACGTTCTAATGAACACTCAGCACACTGTCAACCGTTTTGGACTTAATAACCACATCCGCGCTGTGCATATTTGAATGTTCGCTTTCCGACCATGAGTTCGAATCTCATGTTAGGAAGGTGATTTCTTGATATTATCGGCAATTCCAGCGTGAGTCAGCTTTGGAAAGTGCCTGAAAACCATACCATTTAGGCAGACAGAACCGTTTGGGATCCGTCGACGGTTGTGCTCACACAATTAATCCTGACCGAGAATTTGAACGTACTCTCCTTGTTAAAAAAAAAAAATACTCGATCACGTCATCTCTTCCAAAAACTCAGAATAGTTGCAGTATAAAGCATAGACGGGCCCCGTGGGTTTGAATAAACCCAAATATACCTGTGCAATAGAGCCGCTTTAATAGACGGATGTGCTTGGAAAATGGGTAGCCAGCCAGTATATATCTATATATATATCCTCTTTTCTACCAAATACAATCGCCTTCATACCATCGGGAAGTTTTCAACTTATAAAATAAGCAGCGAATTTTTTTTTCCTGTAATAAAATAACTGTACCACATAGAAAAGGATTTGTAAAATAATAAGTTTACTGCACTAAATAACCTCCGGGGGAGGGAAATTAAAAGAAACAATTTAATCATACTGGCAATTGTATTTCGTGCACCTAAGTGTATTTTAATTTATTGCTTAAACGTTATTTTTAATGGATCCTCATATTTAAGTAGTTACCCTGTTTTTATTCATTTATTAAACAGTATATTTATTTATTTCCATCTACCGGTCTGAATATTCGTGAAAACTTGTCAGAAAAAATATGAGCATATTTTTCTAAGATTTGCCGTTAGATGGAAATAAATAAAGCACTAAATTAAAATATGTAGGACTGATAAATGAAAAATATATTCCTAAAAACATAAGTATATATATATATATATATATATATATATATATATATATATATATATATATATACTTTTATATATATATATAGACTGAATTTAATTACAGAAATAATATTTATTAAATATTTTCTTTTTCTTTTGAAGAAAAGTTTTTATTTCTTTTTTAAATTAAATTCAGTTTTACTATCAAGTCACCTCACGATTGGATTTAATCTCTGCGAAACCCAAAGTAGGGACAGAGAAGTGAACATTTAATCTTATATTTTACTAATAATGCTCCAATTCTGAGCCAGAAAGAGCGCTCGTTTTAAATGCGGTATCTTCCAGAAATTCGCTGGTTAACGTTTATTTTTTTTAGTTGCTTAATTTTTTACATATATATATAATATATATATATATATATATATATATATATATATATATATATGAAGAAATATAGTCTTAAGAAGTGCTATATTAATGGGATAAAGTGCTCAATATCAGAGATAGAACGTGTGTAAATATAAAAGTGAACATAGAAGTCAACACTTAGAGGCGACAGTCTGTTTCGTGCTAGATGCAATCGTGTGGCATGACGATTGCATCTGTCATGAAACAGACTGTCACCTCTAAGTGTTGACTTCTATGTTCACTTTTTATATATATATATATATATATATATATATATATATATATCTTTTTTTTTTATTTTCACCCCGAAATTAAAGCAAACATTTCAACATTAGAACGGCTCATGGTCTGACATAAATGACATTCATTTCTGTTATATTTAATAATATATATTATATATATATATATATATATATATATATATATATATATATATATAGAGAGAGAGAGAGAGAGAGAGAGAGATCATGCTCCGTAACTCTTTGCAAATTATCGAATATAGTTATAGATATAGATATCAAGAAATTTAAAATTTCTCCCTGCGAACTCTTTTCCCCATACTTGAAATCTCGTTGCAGGATAGCATCACCAACCATGAAAATTTGTGAATAGTATCTTCTCTCGGACATCCCGCTTGTGGAATTCTCTTTTGGGCCTCTTACTTTCCAATCAACTTTCATCTTCCAAAATATAAATGCAATGCCAATCGTCATCTAGTGTCTTATTAATTCCAATTCTTTTATTTTGCTCTCTCCTTAATAATGTTTTTGGTTGGGTGACCGATTAGGAATACAAGTACTGTAAGTAGGTGGTGTAATGGATAATGGCTGGAAATGTTAATCAGAGAGGCGTGTTCGATTTCCCATTGGGCTCACTTTTATACCTTCGGGAAAAAGGTATGAATCCATATATTCTCCCCCAGCTATGTGTTAATTAGTAACATTTGTATCACTAAATCATTATTATCTCCAAAAGAAATTCTTACAATCTATAAATATTTTCCCGCTTTAAAAACCTGTATATGGGTATCCATGACCCAAGCCGGAGAAGACGAATCAATCAATAATAATAACGAAATTTGCAATATGAGCTCCGGTAAAAAAACATGCAATGATAACAGCAAAAATTGCAATATGAGCACTGGTAAAAATGTTTGCTGAAGACATTAAGTTTATAATTCCCAGAAATTCATACAGAGATGTCCTCAAGGACACATGGCACAGTGGATAAAGTCGTTAGTTAGATCCAGTGACAAAACCCAAAGAGTGTGAGTTTAATATCTGATTAAGGTAGTGGAGAACTTGGAGAGGGGAATTAACAGGAGATAACTGATAACTGACATCCATTAGACATGGCACGTGGAACTAGATCAGTCTACCCCAGCGAGCGAAATAAATAGTTCAGTTCGACATTCCAACCACCTGAAGAAGGCCGGAGCGTACAACGTCCGAAACGTTGTGATTAAATATGGCAACAAAGATGAGGACAATAGTCCTAAGAATGTAAATAGTGTACATAATACCTCATCTCAGAAATATAGACATACAATAACTGTTTGTTTCTTAATTTATTGCTTTATTGAAATTCTTGGAGTAAAATGATTTTAAAAATATATATTGAAACAATACTTGTCAAGACACAAGTTTTATGGAAATCATCTGCATGGAATAACATATCCAGGTGTCTCTTGTACAGAGAGCTTTTATGTGGAAGAATATATCAGGGCTGACGAAAAAAAACGGCACAAAGACACAATCAAAGCTTATCTGGTGCAAGAACGGATCAAATAGGCTAAAAGATTGGGATACCGACTGATTACGTTGGTGTGCAATTCTCTACAAAACTCCTGCAATCTTCGAAGAAGCCTGGCGTTAATGTCTCAACCACTCAAAGGGAACTGAGCCACCTTGTAACTTTGACAGCGATTGTAATCACCGTTTACTAATGTTCCCAGTATTCCGGACAATGCTAATCCAGACTTGGACTGTGAAGCCACCTCTGGATCCACTGAATAACTGTAAAAGAAACTCTTCTTCGGACTAAAAACGATCTATTTACATACTACGCTGCATATAGAAAATACTGAAGTCTTTATTAACACTAAAATTCATGGGGGCTTACAGTCACATCTCACTGAAACACCGATTCCTGCACGATCACCGTTAAGCAACGTCGAGCCTGATCAGTATCTTGATGGGTGACTGTGTGGGAATACCAGGTGCTGTACGTTTGAATGTCCGGGTGGTATAATGGATAACGGCTCAGAATGAGAAATAGGAGTTAAGCAACGTCGAGCCTGGTCAGTACCTAGATGGGTGACTGTGTGGGAATACCAGGTGCTGTACGTTTGAATGTCCGGCTAGTGTAATGGATAACGGCTCAGAATGAGAAATAGGAGTTAAGCAACTTCGAGCATGGTCAGTACCTAGGTGGGTGACTGTGTGGGAATACCAGGTGCTGTACGTTTGAATGTCCGGGTGGGTGGATAACAGTTGAATAATGGATAACAGTTCGGAATGGGTGAAATGCCAGGTGGAGTTTGAATGTCAACGTTGATAACGGCCAGAATGGTCAGCATACCTAGATGGGTGACTGTGTGGGAATACCAGGTGCTGTACGTTTGAATGTCCGGGTGGTATAA